CTTTTTCTTTTTTCTCTTGTAATACTAATTTCTTTTTATTTTTTTTTCTCTTGTAGTAAAAATTGGCTTTATCCTATTCTTTGTTTTATTTTTATTTTATTTTTCTCTTGTAAGAATAATTGTCTCTGAACTTCCTCTCTCTCTTTCTTTATCTTATTTTCTTTTCTTATTTATCTTCATTTTTTCTATGTCTATCTTTTCATTTTTAATTTTCTAACAGATGTTGTTGTTTTCCCTTTAAATCAAGATCTCTCTCTTACAATATCCTACTTTCTTTTTTTATCTTACGTTCTTTATTTTCGATCTATATTACTTTTTTGTTATATATGTTATTTCAGTCTTTCTCTTGCATAATTTTCTCCTCTAAATCAGATATCATCTTTCCATTTATTTGCTTGTATTTTTTTTTTTTTTTTTTTGTATTCCCCGTTTTTTTTTGTCTTTCTTCTTTTTTGTATATGTCGCCTTATTCCTTTGTCTATATTTTAATCAGAATTCCCTGCTCCTTGATATTTCCCTTTTTTGTAATTCCTATTTCTGTTTCATATCTCCAACAACTTTTTCTTATCTCCAACTTTTTTTTCCGCATTATCTTCAACATTTTTTCTGATCTCAAACATTTTCTCCAGATCTGATCTCCAACAACTTTTTATCATTTTTATCTCCAACATTTTTTCTTATCTCCAACTTTTTTTCTTATCTCCAACATTTTTTTTTATTTTTTTTCTTATCTCAACATTTTTTTTCTTATCTCCAACAACAATTCCAACATTTTTTCTTATCTCCAACATTTTTTTCTTATTTTTTTCTTATCTCCATTTTTTTTTTCTATCCCCAACAAATCTCCGTTTCATCTATTTTCTTCTTTTTTATCTCCAACTCAACCCGCAAAAAACTCTTCTTCTCTGGCGTATTTCTTTGTTTATCATCCTCATCTTCGTGCCTTTCCTTTGTATATATTTATTCAATTTTCTCATCCTCCCTAAATTCAGCTCTTATATTTTTTCGTCTCTTTGTGTATTTCCTCATCCGTATATTAACCCTAACTTTTTTTAATAATTTTTTTTTCTCTCACACTCTTTGACTTAACTCTTATCTATCTCTTCGCTTTCCTTTGTTTATATATTTTTTCATTCCATTTTTAGCTTTCATCTTTTTTTTATACTCATTTCTCCGCCTCTGACTTAACCCTAATCTTTCTCTTCCTTTTATTTGTATATTCTATTTCATTCTAATTTTAGTTTCTTTTTTTATACACATTCCTTCGCCTTTGACTTAACCCTAATCTTCCTCTTCCTTTTCGTTTTACATTCTTTTTCATTCTATTTTAGTTTCATATTTTTTATATACTCATTCATTCGCCTTTGACTTAACCCTAATCTTTCTCTTCCTTTTCTCTGTATACTCATTTTCATTCTATTTTTAGTTTCATCTTTTTTCTACTCATTTCTCCGCGTTGTTTCCCTCCCACAGTCCAAAGGCAAGTGTGAGATGCCTAACTTGCCCAAGCCTCTGACACTGGAGGAGAAGAAGTTTCTCCTAGCTGTGGAGCGAGGTGACTGCAATACCACGCGAAAGTAAGTTCGGTTGCGGTTCTGTTTAGTGTCCTGTTTGATTTCTCTCTCTCTCTCTCTCTCTCTCTCTTTCTCTCTCTCTGCTTGTCTTTCATTCCGTTCCGTCTCTGTACGTTTGTGTGAGTGTCAGTTTTTTGTGCTTGTGTTTACGTGTTTGGCTGTTCTGTGTCTATGTCTATTCTATTTGATTGTCTGTGTGTCTGTTCTGTGTCTATTTGGTCTGTCTGTCTATCTGTGTGTCTATGCCACTTCATCTGTTCTGTCTTCTTGTATGTATTCTTTTTTAACTCTATATTAAAAAGATTTCAATGTTCGAGATATACTGTATGACAACCTAAACTAAATTTTGATCTGTAGTCCTCTCCTCTAAGTTTACTTGACCCTTGACCTAAGTTTGCTCCACTTCACTCTCAAGTTTCATGCACGATGTAATTCGACCTAAGACGGGCAACTTGCTTTAACTTTCGATCGCTTTCATCTTTTTTATTGTTTTTTTCCATCGAATGATTACATCACAAAGAACAAAATACAATAACAGAACGAGATAATACAGCTAATAGCCTGCCAAAAAAGCATTTAAACGCGTCCACATCACCAAGAACAATAAACACCAACAGACCGACACAATAGAACCAACAACCTGCAGAAACCCATGTAATCGCGTCCTCTTCCTCCTCTTCCTCCCACAGGATGTTACAGAAGGCTCATAGGCACTCTGATTACATGAACATGAATTGCGTAGACCCTCTTGGGCGAGGCGCTCTCCACATGGCCATCTCCAACGAGAACCTGGAGATGGTGGAGATGTTGGTGGTGATGGGAGTGGAGACGAGGGATGCTCTGCTCCACGCCATCGACTCCGAGTTTGTGGAGGCTGTGGAAGTCCTGCTGGAGCACGAGGAGGTCATCCACAAGGATGGGGAGCCTTACGTGAGTCCTTGTCTTTCTCTTTATTTCTCTCTCTCTCTCTCTGTTTCATGTCTTTTTCTTCTGTCCGTCTGTCTTTCAGGTAGTCAGTCTATCGGTCTGCCTTTCAATCTGTCTGTTTGGATGTCAGTCAGTTACTCAGGAAATCAATCATTAGCCACTTTCTCTCTCTCTCTCTCTCTCTCTGTCTGTCTGTCTGTCTTTATCTCTTGCTTTCTCTCTCTCTCTCTCTCTCTCTCTCTCTCTCTCTCTCTCTCTCTCTCTCTCTCTCTCTCTCTCTCTCTCTCTTCTCTCTCTCTCTCTCTCTCTCTCTCTCTCTCCTCTCTCTCTCTCTCGCTCTCTCTCTCTCTCTCTCTCTCTCTCTCTCTCTCTCTCTCTCTCTCTCTCTCTCTCTCTCTCTCTCTCTCTCTCTCTCTCTCTCTCTCTCTCTCTCTCTCTCTTACCCGACTCATTCACTAGTAGTCGAGAGCAAGATAAGCCTTTATACCAACAATAAAAAAGGCATCAAGCCCAACAAAATGCTCAACCTCCTTACCCCAACCTCTCTTTCCCCCCACGCCCACGCCCGCAGTCTTGGGAGAAGGCTGACCGCAACACTTCCGCCTTCACGCCTGAGATTACGCCCCTCATCTTGGCCGCCCATCGTGACAACTACGAGATCTTGAAAATCCTTCTGGATCGTGGTGCTATGCTGCCCATGCCCCACGACATTAGGTAAGCGCGTTTTCTTTGACTTTCCGTTTTTTTTTCGGGGAGACTCAACTTTTTTGTTGTTGTTTGATTTTTCGTACATATATTTTTTTCTTTTCTTTTTTATGTATCTTGACTTTTTTCGTGTGTGTGTTTATTTCTGTTTCTTCTTTTTCTTTCTTATGGCCGTGTTATCATAATGATAACAATAACGTAATGATGGCAATAAAGATAATTATTAGGATGATAAGGTAGAAAAAATATGAATATGGACGTGAATGTAATAATAGTCATACTTATGAAAGTATTCGTCATCACAATAACGAGAATAATAATTGATATTACAGCAGTTTACGGGAGGGAATGAGGTGTATGCAAAGAATGCTAGAAATGTTCGCGTATGTTGCTCATTCATATCATTAGAATTAACGTTTTCTTGTACTGTAGTTTGCACATTACACAACTCAGACTTTGTTAATAGAATTTTGAAAGTTATTTATAGAAAGGAAATTTTATTTCTAAGAAAAGTATTGAGGAATATCCGTAAACTTCAAATCAGCTGCTGTAATAACTAATATCCAAATGACGGGTGTGCATGGTTGGCAATGGCATTAAATATCTCTATGAACATCTATCTTTGTAAATAAATAAATATGTAAATAAATGAAATAAAACAAATAAATAAATAAATAAATGAAAATCTGAAGAAAAAAAAAAACAAATAGATGAATAGATTGCCTCAACTGACAGGGATTTGAACATCAACAGTTCTAATTTACTACAAAAAAGATCAGAATGCAAAAGGGTTTAGTCCTGCTCCCTCTGAATAAAAACTAACATTGTTGGTAGCCTTGCTGAGGGAAGATAGTTATAAATGTTGTTGTTAATCTTGTGAGGGAGGATAGCTATAAATTCCAAATAAATAAACCTCACGTTTCCTCTTTAATCATTCTGTTTATATAGTTTGGGATGGTGAATAATTCAATTTTCTTTGTAAATATTCTAGTGGTTTCTTATTGCTTACAAATGGCCTTCATGTTACTTAAAGTTGTTAATGATTATTCTGGCCGACTGAACCACAGCGCCATATGTCACATTGATGGCCAAACTTTTGTAATATAGTATGATTGTTTCCCTTACGTGTACATGGATAAGTTTAGTGTTGACAAAGTGGTAATGGTAAGGAAATACAACGTAATGACAACAACCATGGTATTAATGGAAATGATTATGGTAATAATGATAAAATAGTCACATGAATAAAATACCTGCAATAAAGCAATAAACGGGTAATTTACACCAATAACATATACTAATCACGCCCTTCCCTCCGCCCCCCCCCTCCTGCGCTACCTCTCCGTCCCCGCTAACTCTACCCCCTCCCCCTCCACCCATCCACCCATCCCCTGAACTCTTCTTTTCCTCACAAACCCTTCCACGCTAACTTCCACACTCCATTCCCCAACATTCTCTCCTCTTTTCTCCCATCCATCCCCTCAAACACTCCCCCTTCACCCCCATAAACCCTTCCATACTAACTCCACTCCATTCCCCAATAAACTCTCCCTCTTTCTCCCATCCATCCCCTCAAACACTCCTCCCTTCACTCCACCCTTCCAACCCCCCTCTCTTCAACCCCCACAAACCCCCTCCCTACCCTCCCCTCCACCCTTCCAACCCCCCTCTCCTTAAACCCTACAAACCCCTCCCTACCTCCCATCCACCCCACCCCTCCCTCCACCATCGCAAACCCCCTCCCTACCTTCCCCTCCTTCTCCTCCACCCCTACAAACCCCCTCCTTACCCCTCCTCCTCTCCCACCCTCCCTCTACCCCACCCACCCCTCCCCACCCCTACAAACCCCCTCCTACCACCCTCCCCCACTCCCACCCCTTCCCCTCTCCCCCCACCCCTCCCCGTTCCTCCCCCAGGTGCGGCTGCCCCGACTGCATCAAGACCTCCTCCGAGGACTCCCTCCGCCACTCCCGCTCCCGCATCAACGCCTACCGCGCCCTCGCCTCGCCCTCGCTCATCGCCCTCTCGTCCACCGACCCGATCCTCACCGCCTTCGAGCTCTCCTGGGAACTGAAGAACCTGGCCAACCCGAGCACGAGTTCAGGGCGGAGTACACGGTGAGTTTGGGGGGGGGGTTTAGGGGGTGAGGGGGTTAGGGGGTTTGGGGGTGGGTTTGGGGGCTGGGTTAGGGGGGGTTGGGTTTGGGGCTGGTTAGGGGTGTTTAGGGGTGGGTTTAGGGGTGTTTAGAGGGTGGATGGGTGAGGGTGGGTTTAGGGGTGGGTTTGGGGTTGGGTAGATTTAGGGGATGGAGGGGTTGGGGTGGGTTTATAGGTTGGTTTAGGGAAGTGGAGGTGAGCTAGGGGAGAATAAGTGTGTTGAAGGGTTATGTATTTGTTATGTGTGGGTGGGCGTTATGGTGTGTGTGTGTGTGTGTGTGTGTGTGTGTGTGTGTGTGTGTGTGTGTGTGTGTGTGTGCAGATGAGGGTGAGTGTATGTATGTGCTTCTTATGTAGGTGTCTTCTGCATAGGATTTATGATTATATACTTCTGTTCTTGTAAATCTGTATATACAAATTCACGCATCCATCCGAGCTACCATCCTTACACACACACACACACACACACACACACACACACACACACACACACACACACACACACACACACACACACACACACACACACACACACACACACACAAACACCACACCAACAACAACACAACAACAACAAAAACAGATCAACTACACACACAAAAAGCAACTCAAAACCTAATCTCACCTCCACACTCCTAAAAAAAAACTCCCCCTCCACTCCCCCCGCAGGAACTCCGCCGCAAGTGTATGGGATTCGCCGAGGAGCTGCTGAGCCACACTCGCTCCTCCACCGAGCTGGCTGTCATCCTCAACCACGACCCGGAGTCTGTGGTTCCCTACGAGGACGGCGAGCACATGATGCTGCGTCGCCTCGAACTCGCCATTGACTACAAGCAGAAGAAGGTCGGTGGACGAGGGCGTGGGGTGGGGGTGAACGAGGGCGTGGGGTGTGGGCGTGGTGGGCGTGGGGTGGGTGGTGGTGGGCGTAGTGTGGTGGTGGTAGGGGGATAGGAGGGGGGGGGGGATTTTGACGTGTGTGTGTGTGTGTGCGAAGTTCTTAATGTTCTTGGTTTTTAATTTTTATTTATGGTTATTTCTTATTTCTTATTTTATTTATTTATTTATTTATTTTTGCGTTCAGGGGTTTGACGTGTGTGTGTGAAGTTCTCAATGTTCTTGGTTTTAAATTTCATCTATACTTATTTAATTTGCGTTCAGGGGTTTGGCGTGTATTAAATTCTTAATGTACACGATTTTAATACGAGGCTTTTCTTCTATAATTTTTTCGCTTGTTTGTTTTAGGTTGGATGTTTTCGTTTGATTTTTTTCAAGTATGTTTTATAGTTATCGTTACTCTTGTGCTCTATACTGTTCATATATATATATTATATATATTATATATATATAATATATATATATATATATATATATATATATAATATATTATATATATATATATTATATCCACCCCATTAATCCATCACTATCACCAGTTCATCACCATCATCACCACCACCATTAATCCATCACTATCACCAACTCATCACCATCATCACCACCACCATTAATCCATCACTATCACCAATTCATCACCATCATCACCACCAACATCAGCCTGTTCCTTTTCCTCCACCAGTTCGTGGCTCACCCGAACATCCAACAGCTGCTGGCCGCCCTCTGGTACGAAGGTCTCCCCGGGTTCAGGAGGAAGGCCGTCATTGACAAGTGTCTGGAGATTGTGAAGGTAAGGGAGATTTATTTAAGGGAGATTTTTTGAGGGAGATTTCCTGAGGGAGATTTTTTTAAGGGAGATTTTTGGGGGATTTTCTAAGGGGATTTTTGAGATTTCCTGAGGGTGATTTCCTGAGGGATTTCCTGAGGTGATTTCCTGGGGTGATTTCCTGGGGAGATTTCCTGAGGGAGATTTTTTTAGGGTGATTTCCTGAGGGTGATTTACTGAGGGAGATTTTCTTGAAGGGATTTTGTAAGGGTGATTGCTTTAGGGTGATTTTATTGAGGGTGATTTTCTAAGGGTTAATTTTCTTAGGGTGAATTTTTGAGGGAGATTGTAATGAAGATTTCAAGGGGGTGGATTTCCTAAGGGCGATTTTTAGGGTAATTTCCAAAGGGAGATTTCCTGATGTGATTTTTTGAGAGAGATTTCAATGGGGAGGATTTCCTAGGGGCGATTTTTTTAGGGTGATTTCCTGAGGACGAATTTCATTTTTTATAACACTTTACATCCTTTCATAACAGTTATTTATTTTTACATTTTCATAACACTTCTCTTGTATAACACGTATTTGTTTTATAACTCTTTATAAACATAACACTTCTTTTATAACAAGTAATATATTTCTTAAATTTTTATAACACTCTTATACCTCTTTTATAAACAAATGTATTTTAATAACTCTTATAACACTTATACCACTTGTATTTTTTTTATAACACTCTGTACCTCTTTTGTAACACGTAATTTTTATAACTCCTATAACACTCTTTCTCTTTTATACACACATTTTTTTTTATAACTTATAAAAGTCTTACATCTTTTTATAACACGTGATTTTTTTATAACTTATAACACTCTTACACCTCTTTTATAACACGTTTATGACATTTATTTTTTATAACTTCTCCTTTTATAATACTTTATAACATAGCACTTCCCTTTTATAACACTTTTTATAACTTATAGCACTCTTATCCTTTTTAACACTATAAGCACTATCTTATCCACTTTTTATAACTTATAGCACTCTTACCCTTTTTATAACTTAAAGCACTCTTATTCTTATCCCCTTCTTTTATAACACTTTTTTCAGGTCGTCGCTCTGTTCCCCCTTTACTGTCTCCTCTACATCCTCTCTCCGGACAGCCCAACCGGAACACTTATCCGTACTCCGTTTATGAAGTTCCTTATCCACTCTGCCTCTTATCTCTTCTTCTTGCGTGAGTTTTGTCTCTTTTTTTCTCTTTTTTGTGCTTGTTATCGCTTTCTGGGTTTGGTGTTCTTTTCATGTGTGTGTGTGTGTGTTTATCTTGTGTTTGTTTTGTGTGCGTGTGTTTTTATGTTTTTTGTGTGTGTGTTTTTGTTTTTTTTTTGTGTTTTTATTTTTATTTTTTTTTTTTAGTATTCTTTAGTATATCTCTATCTCTTGGATTTTGTTTTCTTTATTCTTCTTGTTATTTTTGTTTCTTTATTTATTTATTTTTACCTTATGTGAAGATTTTTTCGTCTTTTGTTTTCTCTTTATGTGAATTTCTCTCCTCTTTTTTTACATTTCTCAATCTCTCGTATTTCTTTCAGTTTCTTTCTCCTTTTTATTCGTTTGCTTATTCTTACTCTTCTTGTATTTTTTCTAATATAACGTATCTCTATCCAAGCCTGTTTGATGTTATTTTTAAAGGATCTCTGTCTATTTGTATTTTTCCAATATTTTTTTGTGTTATTTCACTTTTTTCCATAAATCTGCATAGTTTGGTCTTCAGTATTAACTACACAGTAGGCTTTGTTTTTCTAAATAAATATTCAGATTTTTGGATTTTATATATATATATATATATTATATATATATATATATATATATATATATATATATATAGTTCTTCTTCTATTTTTTTTCTTTTTTACTTTAACCATCGCAAATTTCTAGATTGTTTGTTTATTTTTCTTCGTCTCCTGTTATGTAGCTGTTGTTTTTTCTTATGAACATATTTTGAAACTTGTTATCGTCACTATATTTTACATTTGCTTTTCTTCTTTCATACATATTTGTCCGTTTTTATCGTCCATTTATTCTTTCAAAAAATGTTCAATTCTACCATTTATCTATCAATTTCGTTTCCATTTCATTCTCAATACTATCTACCTTTTTAAAAAAAAAAAACATGCAATCTCCTTTCTCTCCACCGTTCATGTCATTATTATCACTATTATCTATTGTCAGTTGTTCATCTTTTTTATTTCATTAACATCCTCGTTATCATCCGTTCATCATTTTTCTTAATTTTTCTCACCCCATTATCTGTCCCCTTTATCGTCCGGTCACTATCACTACCTTTCATTCATTTTTTTAAAATTATTATTATCTCCTTATTATCGCACTCATCACTTCATCCTCTTCTGTCTAATCATCAACACCCTTTATCATCCCTCTATTTTATTTTTGCTCCTTCCTTCTCCCAGACATCATACCTCACCACCAACATCCCCAATTTTATCTTATTTTTTCCCCTTCCTTCCTTCTACCTGTCATCATACCTCACCAGCCCCCCATCTTTATTTTCTCTTTCCCTTCCTCCTTCTACCTGTCATCATACCTCACCACCAACATCCTCATCTTTATCTCATTTTTTTCTCCCCTTCCTTCCTTCTCCCAGTCATCATACCTCATCACCAACATCCCCATCTTCATCTTATTTTTCCTCCCCTTCCTTCCTTCTCCCAGTCACCATACCTCACCACCACCATCCTCATCTCTATCTTATTTGTTTTCTCCCTTTCCCTCCTTCTCCCAGTTATGTTGATCTTGGTGTCGGTCCGCTTCGAAAACCTGGTTATCTGGCTCTTCGGAACTGAGAATATGAGACGAAACCTGGAGGAGGCGATGCGGAAGCAGCGCGGAAACCTCCCGACGCCGACAGAATGTCTTGTGGTGTTGTGGGTCTTCGGTGAGTCAATATGATTATATCTATGTGTGTGTGTGTGTGTGTGTGTGTGTGTGTGTGTGTGTGTGTGTGTGTGTGTGTGTGTGTGTGTGTGTGTGTGTTTATTTTGTCTATAGATTTTTTTATATATAAACGTTTATATTTATGGGTTTTCCTTGAGGGTCTTTTAATGATTGTGTAACATGGAGGGAGGGCGAGGATGGGGTTGGAGAACGTGAGGTGGAGGGAAGGGGGGGTTTGTTTGAGTTAGTGGGGTTGATGTGTGTGTGTGTGTGTGTGTGTGAGAGAGAGAGAGAGAGAGAGAGAGAGAGAGAGAGAGAGAGAGAGAGAGAGAGAGAGAGAGAGAGAGAGAGAGAGAGAGAGAGAGAGGGTATAATCCGGGAGCCTTCTTAGGTAAGTACATTCATACAGTTTAAGATACATCACGTTAACCTGAATAGGGATACCACAATAAAATTTTGAAATGGGCGAATTAGAATTCAACCTGCTCTCACTCCTCCATTTCTGAACTTACCAACCCACTTACCCATCTCCCCCCAATTCCGTAACCAGCTGTTCCGCCATCCGTTTAACCAGCTATCACCCTATCTGCCAAACGAACTGCCCCACTACCATAAGTATAACCCTTTTTTGTCATCAATATCCCTATCGCCTTTACTTATATCACTCTAACTTTTGGAAATTAATATTCTTACCATTGCTATTCCTTCTATGAACACCACCTTTGTTACCCCTTTATAATCTCAGCGACTGATGTTTAACTATTTCTGCCATTAGTACCAATTAGAATTCCTTCTACTTATACTCTTCGCGACTGATGACTTTATTATTCCTGTCATTGGCTCTAACTTCAATACAGTTTTGTTTATAATCTTCGTGACTGATGACTTAATTATTTCTGCCATTAGTACCAACCTAAGTACCCTTCTATTTGTTGCCCCATCTGCCTTACCAGCTGATTCACTACTCCATAATCAGCTGCCCCACTACTCCCATGACCAGCTGTGCCTCCACTCCCATAACTCCCACTCCTCACTCCCCCCGCCCTCAACTCCCTAAAATAACCCTCTGCTGCGCCTCCCTCAGGCTTTATCTGGGAAGAAATAAAGGAGATCTACCGCCACGGTCTGAGGAAATATCTGCGGAACATGTGGAACATCCTTGACATCATGCGAGACAGCCTCTACATCTGCACGCTGTTCCTGAGGATTCTGGCTTACATCCAGCAATGGCAGGAGATCGTCCGGAATCCTAATGTGAGTCCTTGGGGGTGGGGGAGGGGGGTCCTATGTTTTTTGGGGGACGTATGTGCTTTGTTTTTTATCTGTTTGGTTTTGTTTCACTCTGTTTGTTGTGTTTTCTTTTTGGGACAATGTTTCTTTGTGATTGATTTTTATTCTGTATTGTTCCGTAAAGGGAAAGAAGGGAATGATTTTCACTAAAAATCCCTTTTGTTTCTCTCCTCTTGTTCCGTTCCTTCTATTCCGCATTTCCTGCTCTTCCTCTCCTCCTATGCTTCGCATTCCTCCTCTTCTCACTCCGTCCTACCTTTCCCTCTCCATTCCAATCATTCTCTCCCTTCTCTCCATCTCATCCCTCTCCCTTTTCACCCCGTTGCTTCTCCCTTCGTTCCGTTCCGTTCCATTCCAATCCATTTCGTCCCGTTCCGTTCCGTCCCATTCCTTGTTGATCCGTCCCGTTCCGTTTCGGTCCATCCCATTCCGTTCCGTCCCGTTCCGTCCCGTTCCGCCGCAACAGGTGGCGTACATCCCCCGCGAGGAATGGAACAGCTTCGACCCGCAGCTGATCTCCGAGGGTCTCTTCGCCGCCGCCAACATCCTCTCCGCCCTCAAGCTGGTCCACATCTTCAGCATCAACCCCTACCTCGGACCCCTGCAGATCTCTCTCGGCCGAATGGTTATCGATATCGTCAAGTTCTTCTTCATCTACACTCTGGTGCTCTTCGCCTTCGCCTGCGGTGCGTGGGGGCCGGCGGCGGGCGGCTTTTTGTTTTGTTGCTGGTGTTTTTTTTTTTCTTTTTGGTTTATCTTTTGGAGGAAGAGTTGTCTGATAGCATTTGACACGCGCGCGCGGCACACACACACACACACACACACACACACACACACACACACACACACACACACACACACACACACACACACACACACACATATCACAATATATATATATATATATATATATATATATATATATATATATATATATATATATATATATATATATATATATATATATATGGTATATATATATATAATATATATATATATATATATATATATATATATATATATATTATATATATATATATATATATATATATGTATATATATATATATATATTATATATATATATATATTATGTATATATATATATGTATAATATATTATATATATATATAATTTATTTATATATTTATATATATATATATATATATAATATATATATTATATATATATATATATATATATATGGTATATATATGTGTGTGTACATAAGTATGTTTGTATATATTATAATTCTTTCTATCTATCGACCCATCTTGCACTCTTCCACAATTCCTTCAATAATCTTTCCAATAAATCCCTCTTCTCATATATATATATATATTATATATATATATATATATATATATATATATATATATAAATCCACCCACTCCCACCAACTGACCACCCCGCCTCCCTCCCCCCCAGGTCTGACCCAGCTGCTGTGGTACTACAACGACCTGGAGAAGCAGAAGTGCTACTCCCTCCCCGGCGGCTTGGCTGACTGGAAGGCCAATGGCGACGCTTGCATGAAGTGGAGACGATGGCACAAGTAAGATAAACATCGAGGCACGAAATGGGATGATGAAGGAAGGATAGAGAGAGAGAGATGTTTACGTGTGATGGGTGGATGTTGTGTGGATGGCACGGGGTTGTTTATTTGGTGGTGTGGATGTGTGTGTGTGTGTGTGTGTGTGTGTGTGTGTGTGTGTGTGTGTGTGTGTGTGTGTGTGTGTGTGTGTGTGTGTGTGTGTGTGTGTGTGTTGTGTGTGTGTGTGTGTGTGTGTGTGTGTGTGTGTGTGTGTGTGTGGTGTGTGTGTATGTATTTATATGTGTATGCATGTATGTATCTCTGTATTATGTATATGTACATATACATATACGCGCATATGTATATATATGTGTTTATGTCTCTCCCTTACTCTCCCTCTCACACCCCTTGCTCCCTTCTTTCCTTCTTATTCTCTCAACTTCTTTCCTCCCCGCTCTTTCCTCTTCCTCTCTCTCTTATCTCCCTCACTCTTCTCAAAGTCCATTCCCCCTTCTTTTCTCCTCTGCTCCTCTTCCTTCTCCCTCTCCACCTTATCACCCTTCCTCTCGCCCCCTCATCTGGCCATTTCTCCATTTCCCAATTCCTCTTTCTGTCTCCTTACATTATTTTCCCTCCTTCTCACTACCTCCCCCGTCCACTTCGCCATCTCTCCATCTCCCTGCTTTATTTCGTGTTCCTCTCTTCCCTTTGCCCCCACCCCCTCTCACCACTTTACTCTCCTTTCCTCCAAACGCTTTACTCTCCTCTTCCTCCTTTTCATCACCTCATCTGCCCATCTCCCCATTTCCCTTTCTCCTCACTTTACTCTCGTTCCCTCATCACTTTTCTCTCCCTCCCTCTTACCACTTTACTCTGGCTCCCTTTCTACCTATTTACTCTCGTCCCTCTCACCTTATCTGCTCATTTCTCCATCTCTCACTTTCCTCACTTTACTCTCTTCCCCTCCTCACCACTTTACTCTCCCCTCTCCTTCCCCACTTTACTCTCCTCTCTCCCTTCCTCTCCCTACTTTACTCTCTTCTCCTTCCTCTCACCACTTTACTCTCCTCTCCCTTCCTCTCCCCTTTACTCCCTCTCCCTACTCTTCTCCCTTCCTCCCTCCACTTTATTCTCCTCTCTCCCTTCCTCTCCCCGCTTTATTTCCCTGTCCCCCTCTCTCTCCCCACTTTACTCTCCTCTCTCCTTCCTCTCACCACTTAACTCTCCTTTCCTCTCCTCTCTCCCTTCCTCTCCCCATTTTACTCTCCTCTCTCCCTTCCTCTCCCCACTTTCCTCTCTCTTGTCCCTTCTTCTCACCACTTTGCTCTCTCCCCGACAGCCTGTTCGAAGCCTCCCAGTCCCTCTTCTGGGCTGGCTTCGGCATGGTCGGGCTGGACGACTTCGAACTGACCGGCATCCGCGAGTACACACGATTCTGGTCCATGCTCATGTTCGGTTCATACTCAGTGATCAATATCATTGTGTTGCTCAACCTCCTCATCGCTATGATGTCCAGTTCCTATTCCTTCATTGTTGTAAGTCTTTTTTTGGTCTGATTTTGGTTGGGCTCGTGGGTTGGTTTGTCTTTTGATTGATTCTAGGATCTTGGGGGGGGGGATAGGGAAATAGGGGAATAGGAAGTAGATGGTAATAATGATGATGGTGGTTATGAATTTGATGATAGAAAGTGGTAGTGAGAGTGGTTATGATAATAATGTCGACGATAGTGAAGGTAGTAAGGTAATTGTCATAATCATCATGATAATAGTTTTGGTAATAAACTCATTTTTTTAAAGATACTCACTGGCTTTCCAGAGATAGATAAATTATTTTCCCAGACCCTCCCATTCACCAGTCTCCCGGACCCTCACATTCACCAATCTCCCGGACCCTCCCATCCACCCCCCCCCCCCCATTTCCCACACTCTCACATTCCCGCTGCCCCGACAGGAACACGCCGACACGGAATGGAAATTCGCCCGCACCAAGCTGTGGATGTCCTATTTCGAGATGGGCAACACCCTGCCTCCTCCTTTCAACATCTTCCCGACACCAAAGAGCTTCATGAGGATGTGTGGAAAGAACAGCCGCCAGGAGGAGCTCGTTCGCAGGATGTCGTCGAGGGTAGGTTGGGGGAGGGGGAGGGGGGAGGGGGGTAGTGTTTTTTTTTTTTTTTTTTTTTTTTTTTTTTTTTACTTACTTACTTACTTACTTACTTGCTTGCTTGCTTGTTTTACTTTACTGTGAAAGTGAGATCAAAATTTCGTAGGATTTTTGAGGAACTTGATGGGACATGTATATAAAATGTTTTGTTGCGTTTCTATTTTCCTCTTTTATCTGTCTTCATTTATTTATTTCTATCTGTAACATTCTCTCTCTCTCTCTTTCTGAATTTCAAAAACAATTTACCAAAGGCTATACTATACTATACTATACTAACCTATACACTACTTTACTATACTATATACTCTACTTTATGCTATACAATAATCTTTTTTCTTTTCTCCTCCCACCTTTTTGCCTCTTTGTTACTGTCCTCCTCTCCTTTTCCCTTCCCCTTCTTCTTTCTCCTGCCTTTCTCTTGTTCACTTTCCTCCTCTTCCCTCCCTTTTCCCTTCCCTCCTCTCCTTCTTTCTCCTCCTCTTTTACTTCCTTTCCTTTATTTTTCTTTTCATTTTTCTTTATTTACCCTCCCCTCTCCCCCTCGTCCTTCTTTCTACTGCTCTTACCCCTCCTCTTCTCTCCCTCTTTCCTCCTCTCCTTCCTCTTCCCTTCCCCCTTCCTCCTTCATCGTCCTCCTCCCCCTTCCTCGCTTCCCTCTCCTCTCTCTCCCTTCCTCTCCTCATCTTCTCCCTCCTCCTTCGCTCTTCCCCATCTTCCTCTCCCTCCTTTACCTTCTTTTCTCATCTCCCCCTTCCTCCTCCATCTTCCCTCTTTCTTCTCCTCTTAACCCTTCCCCTTCACCCTCCTCCTTTTCCTCCTTCACTTCCCTTTCTCATCTCTCCCCCTTACTTCCCCCATCCTCCTTCTTTCTCCTCCTCTCCTCTCCCCCCATCTTCCCTTCCTTCCCCAATCTTCATCCTCCTCCCCTCAATCTTCCTTCTTCTTCTTCCTCCTCCTCCTTCGCTCCCCCCCCATCTTACGCCTCTTCCTTCACTTCTCTTTCTCCCCCCCATCTTCCTTCTTCTTCCTCCTCATACTCTCCCTCTTCCCCCTTCCCCTCTCCTTCTCTTCCCCTTCCCCTCTTCCCCCTCTTCCTCCTCTTCCTTCCTCCCCTTTCTCCTTCTCTTCTCTTTCCTCCCTCCTCCTTCCCTCCCCCTTCCCCTCTTCCCCTTCTCCTCTCTCCCCCTTCCCTCTTCCCCTCTTCCTTCCCCTCCCCCTCTCCTTCTCCCCCCCCCAACAGACCCAATCCCGCCGTCGCAAGGCCCGCGACTACCGCTACCTGTCCGTCATGCGCGCTCTCCTGTGGCGCTACGTGTGCTCGCTCCAACGACGAAACGAAGAACGCCCCATCAACGAGGATGACATTAGCGAGGTCAAGGGCGACATCTCGTCCCTGCGGTTCGAACTGATTGACCTCTTCGGAGCCAACGGAATGGATGTGTCCACTTGCGCTAAGAAGAGCAGGGGTGAGTTGGGTTTTGGATTTTTTTATTTGTTTTTTTTATTTTATATATATATTTTTTTTGGGGGGGGGATAGGTGTGGGTGGGTGGGTGTGCAGGGGGTTGTTTTGAGTGTGCGTGTGTGGTTGTGATAGCGTGTTTACTATGATGTCGCTTGTTTGTGTGAAACTGAGTGAATATTTTTTTCTGTAATATATTCTTTTAAAGTAGTCAACAATATGAAAAAATAGACATTTATACTAACCACAAAATCTGTTTCCCCTGCCTCCCTCCTCTATCCCTTCACCCTATTCTTCCTTACCCACCCCCTACTTCCCTCCTCTATTCCTCTCCCTCTTCTCCCTCTCCCAACCCTATTTTCCCCTTCTCTGCCTCCCTCCTCTACCCCCTCGCCCGCCCCCACCATCCCCTCCCGTGCCTCCCTCCTCTACCCTTCGCCCGCCCCCACCACCCCTCCCTGCCTCCTTCCTCTACCCCTCGCCCGCCCCCACCACCCCTCCCCTGCCTCCTTCCTCTACCCCTCGCCCGCCCCCACCACCCCCTCCCCTGCCTCCTTCCTCTACCCTCGCCCGCCCCCACCACCCTCCCCTGCCTCCTTCCTCTACCCCTCGCCCGCCCACCACCCCCTCCCCTGCCTCTTCCTCTACCCCTCCACCACCCCCCCCCTGCCTCCTTCCTCTACCCTCGCCCGCCCCACCACCCCTCCCCTGCCTCCTTCCTCTACCCCCTCGCCCGCCCCACTACCCCTCCCCTGCCTCCTCCTCTACCCCTCCCCCCCCTGCCTCCTTCCTCTACCCCTCGCCCGCCCCACCACCCCCTTCCCTGCCTCCCCTCTACCCCTCGCCCCCACCACCCCTTCCCTGCCCCCCACAGCTGCCCTGGGTCGCAAGATGCGCGTATGGGAGCGACGGCTGATGCGCGACTTCCACGTGTCTCCCGCCATGGGCTCGGAGGATCCTAACCGCGAGGTGAAGGAAGCGCCAGTCGAGGAGGGAGCCAACAGCCGCTTCAAACGCGTCGCCAAACTCGCCATGGCCAACAAGCCCGCAGACCTGGCCAGCATCGTTGAGGGAGCTGCTCGCGCGTGAGTATTGGGGGGTCGGAAGGGGTTGCGGGTTGTAAGTTGGGGGTCGTGCACATGGGGTTAAGTTTTGGGTTGTGGGTTATGTTTTTTTTTTCAAGTAGCGGGGTGTGATCTTTTATGTATTCAATCCCCTTTCATATTCTCAAAGTATGACCAAATGTGAGTTGTGAATCAATTATCGTTGTAGATATGATGAGGATCAATGGCTGTAAAAGTTAATACCTTTGAATCTAATGTGTAAAATGAACAGTTCAACTTGATGATTCACATATATTTCCTCGTCGATCTTTAATGTCTTGTTTATTTCTTTTATTACACTTGTTTTTATCTCTCTCTCTCTCTTTCTCTCCCTCTCCCTCTCTCCCTCTCTCTCTCTCTTTCTCTCCCTCTCTCTCCCCCCTTTCCCCGTGTTGCTGACCCCGCCCTCCGCCCCCAGGTCCCAGATCGGCATCGGCAACATGGAGGGCCGCGAGAACCTGAAGGAAGCCATAGAGAAGGCGCGACGCAGGATGGAGGAGGGAACGCCCGACGGCTCCCCAGGCTCCTCCCGCGGATGCTCGCCTTTCCCCGACCTGTACACCGGCCCTCATCTCCTGGACGCCATCAAGAGCTTGGACCTGAGCCCCCACCATTCTCCCGCCGAGACCCCCATGCCTCCTGCCGACAGCAAGGGATGGCACCAACCCGCAAAGGATGGTAAGGATAGCGCTTGGGGTTTTGGGGTGGGTAGGTAGGGGTGTGTGTGTCTGAGGATATCCAGGCAGAGCTTCTGAAGGGACTTTTCATGGGATTGATCACGTTGCACCGATATTAAGCCAATTAATGACATGAAAAATACTTTCAGAAGAATATTTCCTCTGATAATTTATTTTTCCTTGACCCTATCGATTTTTTTTCTTGCCAAAGTAATGAAATTCGTCTCCTTTCCCTCTTCTCCCCGCCCTCTTCCGCGTCCCTCCCCAGGCCAAGCCAAGGATCTGACCAAGCTGACGGTGCCGGGCCGCCGCTCGCCCACCTGCCTCAAGCGGACGGAGGGCTCCAGCAACGAGAACGTGAGCCTCGACGTCCCCACCAACGTGTTCTCCAAGGACTCCATCAAGAAGCTGAGCGGCATGAAGAAGGCGGAGACGGAGAAGAAGGACGCCGCCCCTCCAAGCCCGCCGTGTCGGTGACGAGCGTGTCCGAGACGAAGCCGCCCGCGCCGGTCAAGAAGGAGGAGGCCAAGACGCAGAAGGAGAGCGCGGCGGCGCCCAGCCCGGGCATGATCAAGCCCAGCCAGATTAAGGCCAGCGGAGTGCTGCCCACCAAGACCCAGGCCGCCCCGCCCCGCCGCCGCCCGCCGCCGCGCCCGCCGCCGCACCCAAGGCTGCTCCCGTGCGCATCCGCCGCCCGTGGCCGTCGGTCTGCGGCGCATCGAGGGCGAGAGCGCCGTCCGCCGCCCCGTGGCGCCTCGCGTGCAGCAGGTACAGCAGCAGCAGGCCTTCACCGGCTCGGATGATTTGGAGTCGGTGGACTTCGTGCGCCGCCCATCGCGGCTGCCGCCCAAGCCGGAGCCCAAGGAGGACATCCGCAAGTCCGTCACACCCACCATCGCTGTGACGCCGTCCACGCCCGCGCCCACCGAGACGCCCGTCCCACCCTCGCCGCCCGCCAAGATCCCCACCAAGTTTGCCATCGACAAGACGCCACCACCCACGCCCAGGCCCGGCGACAAGCCCGCTGAGATCAAGCCCGCCCCCAAGCCCGAGGCCTCCAAACCAGCCGCTAAGCCCGCAGAGAAAGCCGTAGAAAAGCCTGCCGCTGAGAAGCCCGCCGCCCCTGCCGCCCCTGCCGCCCCACCGCCGAGAAGCCCGCTGCCCCAGCCGCTCCTAAGCCCGAGGAAAAGCCGGCTGCCGCCAAGCCCGAGGAGAAGAGCGACGCCAAGCCGGCCGCCGAGAAGCCCTCCGAGAAAGCCGCAGCCCCGAAGCCGCCCAGCGAGCCGAAGCCCGCCACGCCCCCAGCCGAGACCTTCAAGGGCAACTCGCCCACCAACCAGGCCGAGCCGCTGATCAAGCAGAGCCAGAAGACCGGCGGCGGATGGCTCTGAGCGAAATTACAAATAAAAATAAACCAAAGATAAATATTTTAAAAAATGAGATAACAGGTAACTAAACAAAAAATATAAAAAATATATATTTGATACACATATATTCCTTGCTGTATACAAGTGGCTTCGGGAGTACCTCGAATTCCAATGGCCAATGCGAGTGTAGCAATATACCTTGCAACCGTATTTTAATTATGAACATGTAATCAGTCTGGTGTTCTATTAAGACTAATTAGTTGCATGTATGTATGACTTAATTTGCATAAAGGGTTCAGCTCTCATTATATAGGCTTAGCTAATGATTATGTATGCGTACTGCACTTGAACTAATTATTTTCTTGTTGCGATTTTGTGTACTTGTTATACTTTTATCGTATTGTAAACTATAACAAAATAATTTTTATTAGTAAAAAAAACATGGGGAAGACTCGTGATTATATTTCAATAGGGTAAATATAGGAAAGTATCCTAGCATTTAAGAATTTTAACACTTAAGAAAAAAAAGTATTTTGTTTGGTTTATTATATATGCAAACATTATTCCAATTAAACTGATATAATATGATAAAATATAAAGGATATAAAAATATACAAAAAAAGCATAATTTAGCTTTTCACATTTAAGTTTCGTTTTATTGTTCATCAAACTTGCTATTGTATGTGATACCATTGATATTAGCCTACGAAAATAAATAGAACATAGTGATATATTCTTAGCTCACCATAATGCTTAAACAGTTTTTAAATTGCTTATACTCTGCAGGATTAATTAGCTTGTAGTATTTCTTGATTTATGATATATAAAAAACACAATATATGTGGTTTTCTTAGGAGTGACAACAACGGATCTAATAACCAAATGAAGTAAAAGTGTGATTTGACTCAATATTTTATGATTGAGAGGGAAAAAAATGTCTCGGTGGGATACGGGCTTATTCTAGCTTAAATCTTATTTTCCCATTACCAAAACTTGTTTCAAAACCTTTTTTTGGCTTTCTCTATGTTACCAGTGTTCTGTCCATTCATTCTAGTTAAAATAAAACAGTTCTCATAACAGTTCCACATGCTGTTGTATTTTTACTATCCTTTAAAAATGATGTAAATGAGTTATTGTTTTTTTTTCTTAGTTTACATGGAGACGAAGACATAGAATTACATTATCAAAAAGGAAAGGGATCATTTTTTTTTACAAACAAGAGGCATACTCCCTAGTTTCCTGTGACAGGAAACTGATGTATGTCTACATTAAAATACATGAAACCCAAGAAGGGCTACAGTAGAGACAGAAAGAAACCTTGATCTACCATGACATAACACATAAATCTTTTTGCTTACACATACAGCTAAGGAAGATTAGGTGCTGTGAAAGAATAATTTGGAAGTATAAGATATATATAAGTTAATACGGTAAGCCACTTTGTCAATCCGATTTTAAATTTATACCAAGTATTATCTCATTTTAGCAACTATCTTACTGAAAACCAAAGGAGAAATCTTCTGTTGAACAATTGTACTGAATTTTCATCCAACTTGACAGCTAGAGACATGATAGAGTTGGTTGCAGTGATATAATGAAAGGCTTTTGTCAGATCCTGTAGGTATTTTAAGATTACCTAACTACCAGCTACATAACCATTAGCTTGCTGTGATACTTTGCCTGTGTAAAAATTAACCTAACCACTTCACATTTCTTAGTAAATTACTTTCCCTATGCCTATCGAGCCCTAAAAACAAAGTGCTAGGCCGTCCTTACTATTAATCATAGTTCAGCTTAGTAGTTGAATAGATTGCAGATTCTGATGAGGTGCAAGCATTATGAGCAGTCGCACCAAGTTATTCAAACCAATGGTTCATATGGTCGTAGGTGGTGTCACTGTCCCAGTGTGTGAACTCCCATCAGCAAAGAGCTACCTGCTAACTGTAGCTGGGAACTGATCAAAGCATCTCCGGTAAACAGCTGAAATCAGGAGTGACACTATGGCTTATTTTGACTTGAATCTGGTAGTCTTTTTGAAGGGTATGGCGATCTCTTTCTAAAAAGGGAAAAGGCTTGCTTTGACTGCAACAATAATTGAGGTATCACATGTCCCAGCATACCAAGTAAGGTGCATGGTCTCATACTCCTGTGACATATCTGGGACCACCTACTGGGGCACCAGAGAATGAAACAATTCACTGTTGGTATATAACTGTAGAGTATTGAGTTTGGTCCTGGCAGCTAGCAGCCTATATCAAAAACAAGGAATTTTAATCAGTGCACCAAAAAGCACTATTGGAGAACTTGTGACTCAGAGGAACTCTTGGACTAGCAGCAAATATATATATTGGTACTGCAAGCATTTGTAAGTATGGAGAGGTATGTGTCATATGGATTCAGGATTGAGGCAATACATCAACAGGTTCGCTACAACACTTCAACACTAGCATGGACTGGGTACTAAGCAGAGCTGTCATCCAAAGGCAATGTATGGAAATGTTGGATGACACTAGGATTAAGGATCTTGAGTTAGGCTTTAAGTTCTAATAGATCCAATAAGATCCAACACGTGTGCATGCGCACGTGTGCATGTGCATTGCCATCAACATGTCTTGATAATCTACAAGGCAAGTTGTGATTAGTGCATACATATGGCAAATGCCATATGTGCAGTGACTGGCTGCCCAGGGATGTACCTGATGGAGGGTGTACGTATGGAAGACAACTTTTCAGGCTAGCATTTACACTAATGGAGACTGAATTCATATTTTCTTTACAGGTTAACAACAGAAAACAGAGCAATCTTGATTGCATATATTCAACAAATGGACTTACAATATCTGCAAGTTATGTATAATAATATAACAGTATCTCCTACAACAACTGTTGGTTAATCTGATGCCTTAATTGTAGTGATTCACATTAATTTTTATGAGCTAACTTCATCTCAAGATTTTGTAAAATACAAAGCCTTTTATGTCTTCTCAAAAGTGTTTCTGTGAGTTTTTTTTATATAGAATGACAGTAATGAGGGTCACATATAATGACATTTCATTAGGTAGTTTATGCTTTCAATAATTTTTGAGCCATTTCATAAAACAAAACTCACTAATCTATAAATGATCTAACACTTTGTAATCCCCCTTGAGTAAAAAAATATTTCCTAATTTCCAAATAAGGCAACGTTTCTTGTGCCAGAACATGACAGAGTAAACAACAAAATCAAAGCAATGTAATCTATATTGCTCAAATCATGACTTTTTATCCTTTTTAAACACAGAAACACTTAAATTACAAGTAATCTAATTCTTTAAGGTAACCTGTCATTTCATGAGAATCTGAAATACACATGGATGATAATAAATAATGATAACTTGTGAATGCAAAAATCCACTTATTTTTTCCCCTTTAGTAAAGAAGTCATTGAATATAACCAATGATACTGATGATCTGCCAATAAACCACAAAAAATATAGATATATAAATAAAAAGAAAGAAAACACAAAGGTACATTCAGTAATTCAAAAAGGATCAAGAAATACAAAAAATATATATATTCCATACTTTGCATATCTTTTTCTTTTATTTGGTTCTTATCGATCCAATCTTTCAATGGGGATGATGTTGCAGCCTAGAAGTCCTCTACCAGACCATGGTCGTGGAGTAAGGGACAAAGTCACACTCTGCTCTTCTCTTTGGACTATGACCTGGTGGAAAACAGAACAATTTTCAAAATCTTCTAATTAGTAATTTCCCTAAGTCCGTGTTTCACAAGACTCTGGCTAGGCCTAAGCATGTTATCTAGGGAAGGCAGGCCAGACCTTGAATATAATTTACCCACATCCTGCTAACATTTTTGTGGGCTATGAGAATCTATATTTTATGGTATTTTAGAAAAAATTGCTATACATAATTATGAGAACATCTTTACAAGCTGTCTAGATATGTCTAGCTGGTAGAGGGGGGAGGGGAATAACTGTACTATAACCAAAATGGGAGGCTGGGTGGCCAGAGGTAGCGCAGAGACCAGGAGTGAATGTAGGGAGTGGAACATCAGCTTTAGTATTTTTCTAACTTTTTCGACTTGAGTGTAATTATGGTGTAATTATGTATAACATGATGTAGAAGCCTGGAGTTAAATTAATTCCAAAGTGGTTAGTAACCATAATTAATCACAAAATGCTTAGTAAGAACATGATGACATAGTCTAAAATTGGAACAGCAAATAATTCCCTCAGTGTGATTGATACTAAATATTATAAAACCTTGCATTTATATGCACTCATAAGAAAGAACCACTGTAGGATAATATTACCTGAATTGTGGAGTTCACCGAGTGATTCACAATTTCTGCAATGTTGGTCATGTTGCGGAAGTTGCTGCTAACAACCGATCCAAACTTTCCGATCTGGTCCCCTTCCTGTAGGCCCTGGAGTGACAATAGTTATTGTTTAGATAAAGATACAATTTAAAGCCTATCTAAAGTATTTCACTGGTAACATCTTTCATTAAACATTTTCTTAAAGAAGAATGACATTGTAATATCATAAAAAATACTCCAAGTATGATATAATCATTAGTGACACTAATGCTTATATCATATAACAAAAGGAATAATAATCTTATATTTCCAAATACACCATATGCCTAAAACCTTAGAGAATATTTCAGGTCACCTTTTTGTTTCTCATAACATACCAAGACTGCAAAACCCAAGTTTCCTGTTTAACCCACTGGCACGAGGTACATGCATTGTCCACTATAGTTTTATTTTTGTAATTCTATTTACACATAGATGGCTGCACATAACCTTTGTCACCAAGACATCAATTAGTACTCCCATCTGATCCCACCTGATTACCTGATTCCTTAAACTTTAGAGAAGCTCTTCTCTATAATACTGTTATTATCTTCTTTTCTATTATTATTACTATCATCATTATTTACAATATGATTTTTAAAATATTAATAATACTAATAGCAAAAATATAATTTCTATTAATCTTTCTGATCATCAAGGTAAAGAGCAAATAGGTGAGATTAAGCTAAGCATTAAGCACTACTGGAGCCATCTTTGTGTAAACAAAATCAGTAAGCATAAATCACAATGGACTGGGCATGTATGTACACATTTTCTAGGCATCAATAGCTTAAAATGCAAGAAACTCAAATTTCAAACTTCTCAAAAATCCTCTCTAAAATCTCTTCTTTTCTTTCTTCTAAGACTTTTGCCAAAGTCCCTCACTCTTACCGCTATATGCGCTGGAGATCCTAGCGTCACATGGTCAACTTTAGCAAAAGGCTCGAAATTAGGCTGTGGAGGAGGGACGTTCACACCATTGGGATCAGCCTCTGCAGTGCGTGCCTGACTGTGGACTGCAACAAGCCCTTCCTCAATCTGTTTCAGGAGAGCTGTGTGGTCATTTTGAAGACCTAGAAATAGGAGATAACTGTTAGGCACTGATAGATACATGAATGTAGTTTGTTAATGAGTAGAAAAGTTGGTTGACAGGTATGAAGCTTGGTATGCAGGCAGTTTAATCTGTGTAAACTAGTTATGACAGATATGTTTTGGGGAAAAACAGTCCATCTTTTCACGATGACAGGAAGGGTACACTAACACTATCAAAAATGCCTAGTAGACAAAAAATGTTATCAGGGGGAAAGAGTAATAACAGGAAAATAATAAATATACAAAACAATCAGGTCATTTTAAGAGGGCCATTAAAAACAGTGTTCTTGAGAAGCTTACAGAAGGCCAAAACTCAGTCACTGACAAGCCATAAAGTTGTATGAAGACTAAGGAGAGAACTTGATAAGCTGGGTATGAATTAAGAATGTATTGGTGGTGAAAAGAAAAAATAGAAAATTCCATCAGTAACAGAGCTGGCAATGCTCCCCTTAATTCCTGCAAAATGAGCTTTATAGGTGAAAGGAAGAGTCCATCTTTACAGTACCTAGTAATTTAAGAGATCTTTCACTCCTCTTTTACACTCCTACGAAAATACTTCAGTCACAATATGACAACATACTAAAGTTTACAAATCCCTTTTGAAATTATCAAAGTATGGAAAAAATATGAAAACAAATAAACTCACATTTGATTTGGTGTCTCGCATGACGTACTTGATAGACATCAATATCGGATCTTGGGTAGCCTTCATGATCAATCAATGGATCATTCATTCCCACATTATTCTGTAAAAAGAAGTATGACATCACTCACTGGTAATACAAAAATAAAATAAAATAAAATAAAATAAAAAATAAAATAAAATAAAAAATAAAATAAAATAAAATAAAAAATAATGCAAAAACAAATTCCTGACATGAGAAAATCTACAAAGTTTCATAACATCAAGTGACACAAAACATTAAAAAAGAGGGACTGCTACCAGATAATGGGTCAAAAGTTGGTCCCACATCCAAGTGGACATAATGGACATTTCCACAGAGGAACATGCATTCTAAGCTGCAGGATGATGATGCTGTAGGGTGGCCAGTTCACTTCCAGGGAGGAAACAAAATCTGACACCAGAATACTGATGTTAGCAGACCTGTACTTACTCACAGCTGAGTCATATGAAAGGGATAACTGGGTGCAAACCCAGGCCCCTGCAATTGCAAAGCCAGTGCTCTACCATGAGCTATACCACCTTTAGAAAATAGGTATATCAACTTCTTTAACAAAACTATTACCACAGCACTTAATGTTCAATTGGCTAAAGGCCAAAGACTTATGAAAGCCTTTTTCTCTGTTATTCTTACATCAGAACAATATATGGTCATTCATTTTCCTATACTTACTTTCTAGATTGTCAATTTCCCATACAACCAAAACCTGATTGCTATGACATAATCCCCATTCATGTCACCATACAAGGGTTAAATAATACTTGAAAATTATTCTCTGAACAATGAGATGCTGGAGCCATTTAAGTCAATTAATAAAATAATTCTAAAAAATCAGCATTGCTATCTCATATTCTCTGCTAAATCATAATGTAAACCTTCCCATTTCTTTTCATATACAGCTTCAAGTCACATTCCCATCCCATGTTAAAGAACTGTGATTCCTGTTAAATGATCACTGGATAATCTGTTTACTCCTATGAATAAAGATCAGCCATATTTCATACTGACTGTGCAATTCATTTTAGGAAACAGTAAAATTAAGGTCTCATCATCACTGGATGATCTAATCATTATGGCAGTGACCCTCAACCCTTCCTTTGTCAGTATGCTATTCCCTTGGCTGGATGTATTTCCGCATTTACCCACTTGTTCCCATGAAGAAAGCTACTGTTAACTTGGAGAAAAAAAATCCACTAAAAGTATATTAAGTTTACCACTGAAAACTCTGATAATATGCTAAGTCAACCCATCTACTTATTCTAAAATTAGCATGTTACTATCTGTCAAGATGTGCTGCATCAGCTCATCATTTTAGCACAATTTTATTCTCTGCAATATAATTTCTATCTCTAAGGGATACATTTATCCCTGACTAAGACACAATGCATTAAGATGATTTATAACTCTATCATGTGAATCTTTGTATTGGTATGTAGCCTCAGATAAATTGAAGCTATATCTTTATGTAGGCTCTACTTTCATGATTTCGGAGTAATCTTTTCTCCCAGCAAGAACAAGAAAGAAATCCACTTACTGGTGGTCCAGAAATAAGTATGAACACTATACCTTCCTTTAGCATTTCTTCTAATGATCATCTGCAAGAATTTGTTGTAAACTTTATCTTGCCAGAAATACAAAACTTTGTAGTTTTATTTATTTGAAGGAGGAATAGGGTAGCTGCAAAACTACAATATGGCATGTATGTGTTAAGTATATTATTTTATTGACAAGGTTAATCTTCCCTGCATGTTTATTCATGGCCAGTTTATGACATAATTGCGCTACCTATCTATACAATAAATAATTACATATATGGAAATTTATAATAAGCAATTCATATACACTGAAATAAATGCGACATCTATCTATCTGATAGATAAATATTCATCTATCTATCCAGTAGATATGAATGTCTAGACTGATAAACATTTATCTATTTATGTGTATATGCATATCTGTCAAATTAATATTGATTGGATATGACCCAACACAATCTCAGCAAACTAGTCATTAGTAATGTATAAACAAAATAAGGAAATAGTCTGAGCTTTATCTTACAAAAATATATATGGTGAAAGTGCCATAGTACTGAAGGCACAGACACCACAAAAATAATTTGACATTGTGCTCCTGCTATACGGCTGGAGTGTAGGCCTTTGTTCCTAGATCAAAATAGGATTGTAGTTGTTGTTAACAATGCCAAAATAATTATATGTAAACGTCTTACTTTACATTATCCAATCTTGAAAAAAATTAATTTTTGAACCCATGAATACCAACAAAGGTTATACAAACATCTCAGTAAAGACTAGTAAAAGACAAAAGAAAAAAATATTTCTGCAAATGAGAGGGAACCCCTGTAACTATTGCTGCGTTTGGAACTGCTCGTCCTGCTCATCCAGACCAGCTGGACAAGATGTTTTGACCATTCAGAACCTCTACTTTCTCGTCCTGGACAAGATGTCCATCTCGTCTATCTCATCATCCTTCAAAGTTGGGTGAACAGGACAAGACGATGTCACAATAGCTTTTGTATGTTAACAATGACAGTTGCAGGTAACCACAAGATATTGATGGGTAATTTTATGCCCCTTTATTGGTGTTATCAAAGGAGTTACAAAACCTATGCAGTGTGTAAAATGAAGACACCGGTATGATAAAAAAGTGAATGTTTACATTTGGTTGCATTCTGGGCAGAAAGGGTCTTGGAGGTTCCGAACGCAGCCCACTTGTCCTGCTAGCCCTGGACATGACGAGCAAGACGAGGAGTTCCAAATGCAGCATATGATTTAAATTCTAGCAACATCTTTACCACAGAAAAAAAGCAGTGAATCCACAGTGTCAGTTCATACAATCATATCCTAAACAATTCTCAATTTTTATGCTACTACTAGAGCACAAACAGCTTATTCAATGACACTTATTTTGAGTGTCTATCTTTGGACATTGGTAAGCTCCTTGTCAACGAGTTTCCTTTCAACCACTGCAGATTAATTTTCATAATTGATCCTTACAAGTACTGCATTCTCTCTCTCCACGCAACCCTATCCAAAAGAATCACTGGTATAACCGTAAATGATGTAACAATTATCAATCATGGTGCAATAATAAATAAACAAATGAAATTCTTACGGTCTTCAAAATATCCCAATACTCCTTGATATTTTGCTCGACGTTATCCTTCTCCTTAATAAGCGACAAGACCTTCTCTTTCGAATACTCCATATTTCATTCCAAACAATACGGAAAACTATCTCAAATCTTCCCTTCTCTTCATAAACAATACAACTTCCCACACCCGAACCAGAGTCTCTCCACTCCGAATTCCCGAGGATGAGGAAGCAAGAACACACAATGATGTAAACAAACACAGAGCGTTCGCGTAAGTGAATCTGGTAATCCGGATTCAAAGACATCTTTCGCCGCGACCCATCTGGGGGAGGCCGACCTAATAGATATTCATATATACGGACATGCACATTCAAAAATATAAATGTATATTTGTCTATCTAACTGGTAGATATATATATCTATCTGTTTATCTATCCGGTAGATATGCATATGTAGACAGATAAATATGTATTTATTCCAGTATATATGTATATTCGTATAATAAATATTAACTGGGCCAGGCCTCGCACAAATTAAACAAACCTGCCGAGCTATAGATATGTTTATGTACGTTCCTACTTGTCTGCCAATCTATCTATCAAGCCATCTGTCTACAGTACTTTAGCATATGTCTATATGTTCTATCTATATAATTTTATCTACCTACCGGTTTCCTACCTTTAGAAATACATTGTATCTATCAATACCCGGGTTATTGTCCACCTGTCTCTCAATATATCTTCATATCTATCGATCCATCTACCTACCTCATCTATCTACCTGCCCAAGTATCAGTTGACTTGTCTACTTTACTGCCAACCCACCGACCTTTGTACAAAATTAAGCGTATTTTTCGTCATAAACACATTCAGAGTCATATCTCATATTGCAAATACTATGTGTGTAGTTATGTCTCACGCAACATCAGACGTATTTGATAGTCAGATTTCAAGGAATTTATGCTTTTAATATATATGTATACATGTATCACCATCATCATGTGTCCCTTATTCTTGCAGACCATGGGGGCGCCACAGACGACCTCGCAGCCAGCTCTCTCCTCTCTCTCTGTCCTCAGAATGTCTCAGGGCGTCTGTCAGCTTCAGGCCTGTCCATTCTGGGATGTTGTCCTCCCATTGCTTCCTCTGCCTGCCTCTCCGTCTTCTTCCTTGGACTATACCTTGCA